GCACTTTAAGAGGTGACACGCCGGGTTGCCTCCCCCATTTTATAGTTGCTGGTTCTTTGAAGTTGGATGAGCTTTTCGAGTCTCTAGGCCCTTTTTCTGTTCTTTTGGACAAATGTCTCGAAGCTGGAAAAGGCAAGTTACAGTTCTTTCCAGTTAAAAAACACTGGCCAGATCTTTCCACTCAGGCCAGTCTGTGACCTGGATCACCGTGGTGAGACATCTGTACAATCCTTTTACCATTGAGTTCAGTGGGATTGGTGCCAGGTTGGTTATAGAACTGCAACCTATTCCCCAGCCCCCCGAAAAAAATATCTTACTGTCTCAGACTAAAATCTTACATTGGATTTCCCATTGGCCAGCAAGATTAAGTTGGGCTTAACAGTGCCTTCTTTGGTTTCATAACTTCTGGCACCCTTCAAATTTCTGCCACCCATCCATTTGGTGGGGAAATTTTGAATAATCCTTGTCCACTGCTGTGACCTAGATTCTCCCCCCCCATGCCCGCTAGAGTCTTCTTTCCAGCTGTTCGTAGGGTTCTCAGCACTCAGAGCTCACTGAGGATTAGAACATTTTAAACTGAACCGGAAAGTCTAAAGTCCCACATTTAGCAGGCTGTTTATTCCTATTACTCGCCTCTAATTCTCTGCCTGAGGCCAAAAGAGACAAGATGCTCAGCCGGCATTTAGAAGTGCGATCCCTCCACTGACCGAATAGGTCTGTTTGTCTTAGCACCCTTTTCTCAGCCCTGAATCATGCGAATAAATGTACACAACTAAAGCAACTGTGATTGGTTGTTGTGGGGTAAACACAGGCTTAATTTGTAAGTCTGACAGCTGAGGCACAGCTCTGTCAAAAGATCTAGGCTCTGGAGGACAACATGTGCTATTAGCTTCTAAAGATGAGCTGAGTGTCTCATCTCACTTTACCCTTAGTTTATTCTTCTGTCAGGTTTGTCATCTCTTCCTTGTTTTCCTCTGCGTCCTCTCTCTCTCCTCTTTATTTTCCAAGCTTCTTGAGTTATCCCCTGCCCTTGCTTTGCCTCCTATGTCCCTCGACCCTTTTCTCTTTCCTTTATTTTTCTGTGCCCTGTCCTGCTTTTCTGTCGGATTCGAGCCACTCAGCCAGTAACTGCGGCCACTAAAAACAATATTGTATAACTACTACTTCGTCTAGATTTGAAATGATCTCCTGACCAAATGCCTTTGCTTGTTCTTTGTTCTATTCTGCACGGTCCAGAGCGTACAGACGTACATTATTACCATAAATAAGATGGCGTACACCATTCACCTGACACAACAGTAAGTGAGTTTCCATTTTTAACCCTTTGCCGTGTGCGCACAGGGGTGATCATCGTGTGGTAGCCGTCCGGATCTTCTAAGGTTTCCATCCTTTCTTTCTCATTCCTAAGATTTAACTCTACTTTAGTGTGACCAAGAAACAGGATGCAAGATGGAGCTATGTGGGGGCCGGCTGGTTGGAATGTAAAGCTGGGGAACACGAGACACAGAGAACATAGATCCACTTTCCATCCCAGTGAGATCATGGATTTGTTCTACACAGATAAATGGCTACGGTTCAACGCAGTGACCGAGGGAAGGTCAACGCACCATGTGGCAGTGGTGACTGTCAAAAAGGCTGCAAATCCACCTGGATTTTGGTCTGCCCTTTACAAGAGCTGTTCAAGGTGCTGATCTTATTTGGGGGAAAGGGCTCAGCGCTGTAGACCAACCTTGGGCCTCCAGATGTTCTTGGACTTCAGCTCCCAGAAATCCTGGCCAGCAGAGGTGGTGGTGAAGGTTTCTGGGAGTTGTAGTCCAAGAGCATCTGGAGGCCCAAGGTTGGGGGCCACTGCCGTAGACAACTCCGGCAATGTGCTAATTAAATCTCGGATGGGATTCACAGCGCACCAGTCGTCCCTGGTGAAGATGGCCTTTCCTCTGTCCCTAACTCTGTGTGGTCTGGTCTCCATGGACGGGGCTTTCTCCATAAAGAGCTCATCCCCCTCCTATAATCCACTTGTTGTTACGATGATCAGTTTCCTACTGGTACTTATCGATGGCATTTCCCCCCAAGTAGTGCTAACAGCACATGTCGGAAGCATTCACCTATTCCTGAGCTTGGACCGCTTCTCCTTTTCCTGGACTACAGCTCCCAAAATCCCCAGCAAGCTCAGCCAGGCCCTAGTATCCTTGTGGCACTTGTTATCCATCCACCACATTCACGTGAAGCATTTCTTTTAGAGCAGTCCGTCGTCCGTTTGCAACACCAGCAAATCCATGGCGTTTTGTTTTCTCAATCTGCAGGACTTTTTTGCCGAATGACTTTATGATTTATACGTACAACCAAGGAGGCTTCGTACATCCCAATTTACCACGCATTCAGGTACAGATTGTTAATGAAGGTTTTGTAGCTTCTTGGCAGGAGCTTCATAGTCTTATGTGATGCTTTTTTTTGTTGATAAAATAACCTCCCAAAACAGGTTATAAAATGTTGTGGTGAGGTGATAGCAGAGACACAATGTGGCACAGCGTCTAAGTAAGGATCTTTTAAATCTCTGAGAAGTAAAATTAAAAAAGGCACCAAAGCAAACAAAGAAAAAGAGGTCAAAAACAAACAAAAAAAACCAACAGATGCAATTTTCTCTAGGGAGTGTGTTGCCACAAAGGAAAGGGCCCTATCCTGCATCACTCTTCAAGGGGCCTCTCCAGGGATCTATAGAAGGGCTTCTAAGTAAATCCTTACTCCTCTTATGCGAGGACAAGGAAACAAATATAATTTTCCTTGTTCTGGGAAAAGACAAATTATAAGAATGCTTTTAAAACAAACAATGCAGAATTGCACAAAATGAAGATGGACTGTTGCCTTTTCGCATGGACTTTTCAGGACTAGAAACCCCGGATAAGTTGTTTGCTTCCTCTGAAACAGGTAGCTGTTCTTCCAGGCTTGCTTTATTTTGTATGCAAAAATGAAAATAGACTGGCTTTGTACACAGACATCGTGTGTGCAAATTATAGAAGCTTTGATGAGGAAAACAATAGGGTTCCTTGTCTTATATTCCCAGAGGCTGAGAAATTGCGTAGTGCCTGCAAATGGTTTCTTGAGGTGTCTTGTCAAGATAGCCTGAACTGACAAGGGTGAAGAGTTTGTTGAGTATTCTTTATATCCGTATTCTAAAGAGGACTGTAATTCAGAAGCAGATTGATGAGCAAAGGTGCGATACTGGTGGCAACCTTGAATTTGAGCCAGAAATGGAAACAGGAGTCTGTGAAGCTATTTCAAGACTATTGAGAAACATTGCATACACCCAGCTACATTTACTAATATGGCGGCTGCATTGGGTGCATTCAAGAACATTGTCAAGATACGGTTCATTTAGCAAGTTTCCAAACAGTGACATTGTCATCAGTAATACAAGTCAACATGGTTAGACTATCTCAGTTTAAGAGAGGCCATACCAGTCTAACCTGCTGGAAGATGGTTAGAAAAATGTCAGGAAGGGGAGAGGAACTATCGATAAATGGACAGGAGTGTGATGTTAAACTGTACATAAACTACCGTATTTTTCGCACCATAAGACACACTTTTTCCCCACAAAACAGGAGGGGGTGGAAAGTCTGTGCGTCTTATGGAGCGAAGAAAATAGATTATATTTTCCTGTTTTCTTCTCCTAAAAAATTGGTGCGTCTTATGGAAAGGTGTGTCTTATGGAGCGAAAAATACGGGTATGTATTAAGGTGTGATTATTGAAGGATTTCAGTCATAGGGGAATGCTAGATCAACTTAATTTTTAGAAGTTTACTTTTGCCCCCAAATTATCCTTAGAAAGAATGCTTCTATCAAGGGTATATTGAAGGCTTCCCTAACTCTGTTGCAATTCTTAGCACCTGTTCCGGACTCAGGTAAGAGCCTTTCGTTATTCGGGTCAATTATCCCACCCACCTAATGTGGAGGTCGGGACTGCAGGAAATTCTGCAGCTGACACGAGTGAGAACTCGTCTCATCCAGCCCTTCATTTGTTGTTTTCACCTCCTAAAAAGCAGACTTTCTTATCCTAACTGGTTAGGGCAGGAATTGATAATAAGTGGAAGGGAGGTAGTCAGAGGTTTATATTTGGAATCCTAACTACATGAGAGTTACAGGAGCGATGGGAGTTTAAGGTCAAGCTTAAACCCCATTACACACCGAAAAAGCCAAACAGAAGGCAGGCAATGTATTTAAAAACAGCCTTCCTGACCAGGGACTTAGCTCAGCGCACACAGAGAGAAAGATAAAAATAACTGCAGAACTAGAAAGTCAGCAAGGTTTAAAAGTTACATTCAAAGCTCATCCAAAAGTGTCATTTTTATATACGGAAAAATATGGTATATGGTTTTGGCCCTCAAAGGGTGGACAGTTTTGAAGGAAGAGGATAAGATCACAGGTGCGGAGAAGAGAGCAAAAGGGGGACAGAAAAAGCGCAAATCAGGATGTTTGGCCCGAACCCAGGATTGGACCCAAAGCCACTCTTTGCTTTACGTCTTTGTGTTTTTTTCCCCTTCTTCTTCCAAAGAGGTCTCCTGCAGTTCGAGAATGTTAGCTACGGGATTGAGCATCTGCAGTCCTCAAGCACCTTTGAACACCTTGTTTATCGTATCAACAACCAAAACCTCCAGGGCCCACTTTGGGCAGAAGGATTCACTCCTTCGGAGAGGCCCATGGGACGTGGAGACGTGTCTTATAAGTTGCTTTCTGATAACGTGGTGAGTGGCACCACGCCTTTCCTTTTGCCGCTCTTAGGAATGGTTACTGGGTCAGTGTTATTTATTTACGTGGAATTTTTGTACCCTGCCTACTAGCAAACCCCAAAGGCAGTTGGATACATGCTTCCACAACAGGAAAGAATTGCTTGGATGCATGGGGCAGAAGTAATTAGTAAATGTTGCTTTTTGTTGCAGAGGAAAAATGTGGGAGCAGGCATCTTGTTGTACATATAACAAAAAAGAATCAGACTATACCTAATACTGTACACATCTGTATATATGCTGCTATAAATGGTATTGGATAGTTCCCCTGAGTAAACTTAAGTCGTCTCAAAACTGACTGCTAGGCAAGAGAGATAAGTGGAAATCGGTGCAAATTCTGGCAGTGCATATTTGCTTAACAGTGCAATTTGTCTTGTAACCAGGTGTGTTCTACAGAAGAATTAAAGCTGCTTTCAAAGCAAGCCCACTATGGTAGTAAATTCGGTAGTAGTGGGGTTTTTTTTTGTTTGTTTTTTATTTTTTGTGGTGCAGTGGTTAAACTGCACTACTGCACTAAAGACTCTGCTCATTTTGTATTATTTTTAAGATATTATAAAAGCTTCACTGAAGAAATTATAGAAATAATTACTAAACTTTCTTTATTCTGTCTGTTTTCAGCCACTGTCAGAAATCACTAAAGTGCACAGATATATAGAATTATATATCGTCTTGGACAAGGCTTTGGTAAGTCTACATCCATCAGAAGCTTGCTTCTCTTGAATCCTAGGACAAGCGTTCCCTAGATTGAGTGTTGGGCAGATGAAAGAGGGTTGGCTTAAATGCTGAAACTTGGACCCAGAATCCTGCTTGTTTGGTAAATTCTGGCTACATTTTTTTAAAAACTTATTTGGACTTGGTTTACGGGATTACTGGGAACATGAAGTGCAACAGACCCACAGAGTAAACAAACCACTTGGCAAAATAATTTATTCAGCAGTTGCAGCAGTACTTTTTTAAAAAAATGACTGAAGATGGAAGGGTTATTAGCATTTGGTGGTTTTTGACAAGACTGCAGCTGGGAAGAAATGTTTGAATTACTGGCCTTCACGATCTGGGGTCCCAGTGCAAGAAAACAGGAGACCTGCTGGGCTTCCTCTTAATTTTTGTGTCAAGAAACGAATGCTGAAAGGATGGATAAATGCACATTTAGTGTTTCATGCGAGCTTAGCCCTGAGAACAAACATTTGCAGAACTAAGGGACATAGGTTTTTTTAAAAAAAGGTTTAGGGTGGTTTGAGTAACTTCTTGTCTGCATATCTATGGCATTGCTTTAAGACCAACCTCCTTTTAGAATTCCGCCTGCTGTTGCCACAGGTGAGGACCGACAATGATTTTATTTCCATTCCGTTGAGTATTTTTGTCATGACATATAAAACTGTGTTCTTTTTCCAGTATGACTATATGGGTGGAAATCATGATGACGTGACTCAGAGCATCGCACAGCTCATTGGCATGGTCAACAGCGTGAGTAACGGCCACGTTTGATTTAAATGTTGTATTAAATTATAATACAACATAATCTTCTTACTTATGTAATATTTGCCACCTTGTAGTCAATCATCCATGGACCTGCTAGTTTCATATCCTAGCATACTTAAATATTTTCTCCTGAAAAATTACGACAAATAATCGGCTATTTCCCGGACTGTGTTACCTTGAACTAGGCTTCTTTGTTCAAAGAAGTCAAGAGAAAACTATGGTTTATGATCCTGGCTCGTTTGAACAAACCATAGTTTAACCAAGGTCTCTTTGTGAGCTTCGGGTAGGTGAAGATGTTTAGAAGCTTTTGTTTTTTGTTAGCTCAAACTGACATTTTGTTTTTCACATCCAAATCTTTAAATGACAGAATAGGCAATCTTGGGTTTACCTGTAGGTACATATAGAAAGCTGAGGTATAGCAGATGAAAGAATCCATCACGCTTGACAGTGGCTCTTAAAGTCCCCAGCAAAGTCTGCCATCTGCCCTTCCTGATGACAGACTCAAGAGAAAGGTTTAGAAAGCTGAGGTATAGCAGATGAAAGAACTGTTGTTCATCACGCTTGATAGTGGCTCTTAAGGTCACCAGCAAAGTCTGCCATCTGCTCTTCCTGATGACAGACTCAAGAGAAAGGTGTTAGAGGGCATCACAGCCACATACAGTACCCACTCCATGGAGCCATGCTGATGCCCGCAACGCATGCACACACATTTATGCACACATAAAGAGTTAGGTTTGGCAAGAGTAAGACATAGTTTGCAACAAAATCCCTTCTGTTTTCCTTGAGTGGGATACTTATAAAAACCTGCTTGCTCTGGAGGAGGGAAGTTTCAAAAGGAGGTTACCATGTGCGGAAGCGGAAGGTGGAAGATTTCCTGCTTACTTATATTCCCACATTTACCCTCATCCATTGCATTTATGCTGCAGAAAGTCATCTCATGAACTTGCAGCTGCGCAAGCTCTCATCTGAATCTTTATGAAGAATGCTTATAACATTAAAATAGTACCACCTCAATCACAGTATACTTGGGTATGTGTCACCCCCTCCCCCATATCTTTTCAGATATTTTCTGACCTTAACATAACCATCGTTCTCTCCTCTTTGGAAGTCTGGACAGATCGGAACAAAATCAACACAACAGGAGAACCCGACGAACTGTTACGAAGGTTTTTGCAATGGAAAAATTCATACCTCGTTCTGCGGCCGCACGACCTGGCATTCTTGTTTGTGTAAGGAAGACGGTTATTTACTCTTAAGCACATCAGGCCAAATCCAAAGAAACAAAACAAAACAAAACAAAAGACTTAAAGACTATTACATTTTAATGGGAATTTTTTGTGGGCACGTATCCAAAGAAACAAAACAAAACAAAAAGACTTAACGACTATTATATTTTAATGGGAATTTTTTGTGGGCACGCTCATTTCGTCAGACCCATGGGAACAGAATGAAATAATGGATGAAATACCAGTTTCACCAAGTAGAGCATTCTAAATATTCATTGGGTGTGTGGTCCATCTCACATGCAGTCATTTATGGCCCGTGTTTGGTTTAAGGTTCTGTTGTAAACATTCCTCTAGGAGACAGAAAACAGACCCACAGATCTGGGCAAGGTCGAGGGAGGAGAGAGAAAAGAGAGAAGGGGTGTGTAGGGGTGTTGAAGATGATTCAGTTAAAAACTTAAGAGGGAGGGGGAAAGAATATTTAAAAGTAAATATAAAAGTGAAAAAAGATAGCACATGAATAGCCCTATTAAGCAGTCACTCACCTCTAAGGTTTGTCATCATTTAGACTATTAAGGGGTTTTTTAATGCACAAAATTAACACAGCAAGCTGCACATTACAACTGTATGACAAAGATAAAGGAAGATCTAGGTATCACCAGAAAAGTAGGATTCAAAGAAAATGGAATTGCGTCGATGACTCGGTCATTGGGAGCAGCTGAGTCGGGCCAGAGCTTTCCCCACCTTGTGTTGTCTGCCGTCGCGGGCAGAACCACCCCAGAGTTTCAGACATGCCTGGCAGTGCTAGGAATTGAATCCGGGACCCTTGGTGGACCGATCCGTTCCTTTTTCCTGGGGTTATGGCCTTTCTTCTTTGTGCCATAACAAGAGAAAGACACAAGCACGTTATTTACTTTTTGTTTCCTTATGAAAAATGGAAACAGGCTTGGAATGATATTTGGACTAGTGTCACTTACAGATTTGGGTAGACCGTCATCCGTGAAAGCACGGTGGTATGCAAACTGAGAAATCCTTTTAAAGCAGATCCAGCAAAAGGGGTTAATGAGGGAGTGTGGCAGAAAAGCTGTTCTAGGAGTTATTTTAAATCTTGGGGGAGTGAGCGGGTAGCAGAGGAAGGACATTCCCCAGCACCAAAAAGAGAAGCCAAGACACATCCAGCCGTGTGTTTTGCTTTGAAATGTGCTAAATTCTCGGCTATCGCAAGCAGGAAAAGTCACAGGGCAAATGACCTCTCCTCTGTTTTTGTACTTTAGTTACAGGGAGAAGCCTAACTACGTAGGAGCAGCATTCACGGGGAAGCTCTGCCTGCGAAATTATGATGCTGGAGTGGCTCTGGTGTGGTATCAGTGAACATCCTTGGTTAATGCCAATGGGTTGGTCTGGTTGGGATGTGGGTGGTGGAAATCAGGCCATCAGACCTGCTTGATTTGGACACTGGAGCAGCCATTAAAAAGGCACTCTGTAACGGAGATTACGAAGAATTGATAGACAAGTTTAAAGCAAGCTACTGCTGGATGACTCTCAAATGTCAAGTACTGTAGGATGGCGGTATCTGCGGGGTATCAGTTCCACACACCTCCCACAGATGCTGAAAAATGTGGAAGTACTGAATGCTATACAGTCATGCCCTGCTTTACGATTGCCCCGCATTACGATGAAACCACATTACAACGATCTTTTTGCGATGGTCTGAATAGGGGTTTTTTGCTTTGCGATGATCAGTTCCCTGCTTCGGGAACTGATTCTTCGCAAAACGACGATTTTCGGACAGCTGATTGGCGGTTTCAAAATGGCTCCCCGCTGTTTTCTGGGATGGATTCCTCGCTGCACAGGCACCAAAAATGGCCACCCTAGAGCTTTAATTTAGCAGGAAGTTTTCATGCACCAGCTTCAAAAGTGAATCTAATCCATCCCTTCCTACCCATGGAACAATAGATATTTGGCAACCGCTCCCCTCAACTCCAGTTAGTGTGGCCAAGTTCTCTGGGCTGACAGAAGCGGTTGTTCAGCCCCATCAGGTGACCCAGTGTCAGAAAAAGCTGGTAGGCATCTCCCAGATTAAATGAGGAAAAACAACAAACCTCCCACTACATAATGTTTGTTTAAAATATTTTTATCCCGCCTTTCTTCTCAAAAGAAGTCATTGAAAAGACAATACATAGAAGCTAAAAAACAGTAGGTATACAGATATTTAAAGAAGAATTAAGCAAGGATTGCATTACAAACTGCAACAAAATCAGTACTAAAACACATTTGAAACAACAGAGCACAACCATTCATTTACACCAGCCTCGGATCTTCAGCAAATCTTAGCTTCCAGTTTCAAATCAAGAGAAACAGTTCCTACCTTGGCAGTGTGTTGGACTAGATGACCATGTGAACCGTTTCCTGTTCTACCATGCTGTGAGTCTATCATCCAATCACTCGTAAAAACCACTATAGAAAAACCCAACAAGGCTTTCATGCAATGTTGTGCCCCTGTCCTGTTTACACCTGTGAAAGGTGCCTCCATCACTTCACCCAATTATGCTGCTGTTGACATAGATGAAGTCTTGGGTGCATATCAGGTCTGTATGGAAAGTCTGCCAACATGCCCTTAAGACAGAAGTGCAGCGTAAACCAGGTTTCTCTGTGCACAGACCAATAGAGAACAGGATGTTCTACTCCTCAAAGCCAGCACTGGTGCTGAGAAAATACAACTCGGCTCTCATAAACTGAAGTTCAATCATGCAGTTGTTACTTAGCCAACTGTATTTGTTTTCATCATGAGATGAAACAATTCCCTTCCTGGTTTCATTCATTTTGCTTTCTTGCAGTATCAAAAGGCCATTTCAATGGAGACGTTTTCTGTTATCCTTGCCCAACTGGTGGGGCTCAATTTAGGGATGGAATATGATGATGGAAAAGATTGCAAGTGTCCAGCACCCATTTGTGTAATGAGCACAGGAGCGGTGTAAGTCCTTCTGTTGCTGTGTTGCTGTTATTGCTGGTTACTGAGTGCAAGCTTACCTGTTGTATGCTGATGACAGAACGGTGTTCTCGTGCTCTCCGCTGGTCTCTGTTGGAAAGAAGTGCCGTCCGGATCGAGGCCCCTTTGTGTTTTTTGTTCTGTTGCTGTGTTGCCATCTGCTTTGATTGGTTGGTTGCTATCCTGGTGTTTGACAGTTTTAGTTTCATCTTGTCTTCTTTCGTTGATTATTGCAAACCCTCCAGAGTAGTGCTTCAGTACTAATGGGGCGCGGAATTCCAATTTAAGTAATAAATAAATAAAATAAAGACACCGGCTCTGAAGACAGTTTTAGTTTCATCTTGTCTTCTTTCATTGATTATTGCAAACCACCCAGAGTAGTGCTTCATCACTAATGGGGCACGGAATTCCAATTTAAGTAAAAAAATAAATAAAATAAAGACTCTGAAGCTGGCCTAGATAATTCCCCCCCCCCCGGCCAATTGCTGTCAGTCAGAGAGGACATCGTAAAGCCAAAGATGGCGAAAAGAACACCTTTTGTGCTAGCCGATGGAAGCCTTGGCAGCTAAATGAAATAAATAAATAAAGCCTAAAGGGACTGAGGAATAAGGTGGTCTATCTCCTCCTTCAGGGCTGCTCACCTAGCTGTTTTTCTGCTGTTCTGCATCACTCTTTTGATTTATCATCCCATGCATTTAAAGTCACGGTGGTATGGTGGGAGAAAAATGTCCCAGACTGACACCCTGGCAAACGGTCTCCCTTCCCCTGCCATTGGTGTGTTTTCATATATTGTTCCTGTAATTTGTTGCCTTGAAGACTTGTGTTAGGAGCCAAAGGCAGGATTTGAAAGCAATGACCACAAGCCAGTTGCATGTCAGAGAATCATCCCATGCATTTAAAGTCACGGTGGTATGGTGGGAGAAAAATGTCCCAGACTGACACCCTGGCAAACGGTCTCCCTTCCCCTGCCATTGGTGTGTTTTCATATATTGTTCCTGTAATTTGTTGCCTTGAAGACTTGTGTTAGGAGCCAAAGGCAGGATTTGAAAGCAATGACCACAAGCCAGTTGCATGTCAGAGACTCTCTCTGGTTCCTGTAATTTGTTGCCTTGAAGACTTGCGTTAGGAGCCAAAGCAATGACTCTCTCTCTCTCTCTGGGTGTGTGTGTGTATGTGTGTGTGTTTGTGTGAGTGGAGTGAGTGAGTGAGTGATGCACTAATGGCCTTTTTGCATGCTTTTCAGGCATTCAAATGGGATCAAACCCTTTAGCAGCTGCAGCATCGAAGACTTTCAGAATTTCATTAAGTTCAAGGGCGCCCCTTGCCTTTCGAATAGGCCTAATTTGAAACTGTACTTGAAGAGGAAAAATGCACGTGACAAGCCCGTTTGTGGGAACGGCGTTCTGGAACCTGGAGAGAAGTGTGACTGTGGCTCAGCTGAGGTCAGTGTGTGAGCAATGTTTGTTAAGTTTCCTCTTTTTTTTTAAAGCCTATCTTTACACTCTTCCAAAAGCTAGAGGTGAATTCCAAAAACAAAGATCGCTCCATTCGTCTGACGCAAACCCAGGCAAACCATCCCTTGTCCTGCTCCTGCAGAACGTTTTGGGACGTTTCGATGGGCTGGGCTTCCGAAAATTGGGGGATAGGGACCGGAGTCATGTGACTTACTGTCAAGTCGGACTTAAATCACACCAGTAACTTGACACAGACTCAGCTTGGGTTTGTTTTTCCATAACTCGGACTCAATTTGCGACTCTGAACCCACCTCTTTGTTTTCTTGGGGGGGGGAGCTTGCTTTTAAGAGGGACTTGAACTTGGGGCTTGAGCCTCGGGACTTGGTACCAAAGACTCAAACTCAGGACTCGGAGCTAAAGACTTGCCAACATCCCCGTCAGCACCTCCCTGATACATAAGGGGAGGCATGTAGATATTTTACTTATATTTAAGTAATAAATAAGGTCAGTTGCATTCTACATGCCTCCCCTTATATATCAGGGAGGTTCTGATATATATTTGGGGTGGGTTTGCTGCAGCAGACTAATGCAATTGACCTTATTGGAGTTTGCAGCAGGAGTTTAAGTATGATGGGCGCTTATGCCTCCACGTTTCAGCTGTGCTGCAGAAAGACATCAAAGCAGGCCTGATTAGATGTTCATTCCAAGGCAAACAGCCTCCAGGGACAGAGAGAATGGAGTCTGTTTGCCTTGGAATGAATATCTGATCAGGTTTATCTTCCTCCTTCCTTGCAGCCTGGCTGAAACGTGGAGAGCGATGTGTGTATGCAGGGGAAGAGGGGCACGGTTTGGCGTGGACTATTCCGTGGTGTTTTAGTTGGTCACAGTTGTATGACCTACACTGCTACAGGTTTTGGCACAGTCTAGGGCAACAGATTGAATCATGGGGAGTGGTGTGTAGGGAACCGCATGGATGCCAGTCCCTCTGTTTTGCCTCTGGGAATATAATCAGCAAGATAGCCCACCAATTGAGCATTTTGCCTGAAAGCGTCCACCCCACCGGGCTCCCTTATGCACAGAACTGAGCATGGATTACAGCTTGCTGGTGCGGCCCATGCTTCATAGGCAGACATTTTTCTTTTCTCAGCACCCCCTTGTAAGGGATTCAGTCTGGCACGCCTGCAGAGAGCCCCGGCCAGAGGCTCTCTGAAGAACAAGGTGGTCAAAGAGCAGGACATGTGCATGTATGCGCATGCACAGGAGCATGAAATCTTGGCTGCAAAATGGCCTTCTCCCACCTGATTCCAAGTGGCTTCTCACCCCACAAGGGAAAAGGTGCTATGAATCTGTGGTGTTTTTTTTTAGTCCACTGAGTGGGAAAGGATCAGCGAGGGAGTTTCACACAAATAGGAGTGGAGGCGGCTTAACAGAACCATCTCACGTCTCTTCCCACTCTGGAGGGTGGCTGCTTTGTTTTAGGATAAGAGGAAAACTCCACAACTGCTAAAATCCTATATAAGTTGAGTGAAGGTTTGCGATGAATTATTCCAGTTGGCCTTCTCTGTGTCTTGGCACTCCTCCCTTCACTGTGTAAAAGTATGAATTAGCAGGAGAGATTTGGGATAAAGCCATCAAAGAGCGCCACATGATAAACCCGAGGGCCACATGCTGACTCAAAATGAACAATTGCCTTGGAATATTTGGGGTGTGTGTGTGTGTGTGTGAAAACACCCTCAGAATTTCAGCTTTCCACTCACTGTCCTTTATTGCTCAAGCGCTTTACTGCTGGCAACCCATCAACCATAGGCTTATATTTTCAGGAGTGTAAGAAGAGTAAATGTTGCACCACCGCATGTACTTTCCAGCGGGGAGCTGTGTGCAGTAATGAGTTATGCTGTGAAGACTGTAAGGTGAGGTTGTTAATGTTTGGAACCCTATAGATTCCTGTGTAAAGGGTTTCCCTTTTCCCTGTGGCCTTGGTGTCTCTCTCCCCGCCCCCCACAACCACACCATTTGCTTCCTTTTGTTTTTTGCTGGAGGTGGTAGACATTCTGAAATCTATCCCTTCACACCACTGAAAAGTGAAGAGAGATGCTCGGGTCAATGTGCATGTCCCGGATAAAGGAAGAACCTTCTCTGAAGATGGAAATGTGGCTTTGGAAAGGTTCTCCGCCAACGGCTCCCCCAAAGGTCCCCTCAAAGGCAGAGTGGACAAAAGACGACCCTCTGGATGTTGAAGGACCTCGATTCCCATCATTCCTTATCGTCATCTCCACTGGCTTGGGCCGGTGGGTGTTGAAGCTCAGCAGCAGCTGGAAGGCTTGGCTTGGCCCACCTCTGTCTTGAGGGTTAGGAGAATTTAAACATACCTTCTCAGTGGCCTAACCAGCCCGTGTCGTCTGCCCCAGATGGATCTGGATGTGCAACGCCAAGTTCATAGGGGAGGCTCAGGCAAGAATTAGGAGTTAGATGTCAGGGGAAAGACATGGCTGCCACTGAATATGAGGTTAATGTCATACATTCCATTCCCCCCATTTGGGGGCTAGAGTAGAATTCTCGGGCCAGCCTTAGGGCAGCACACCAAAAAGGTGCATGCAGAAGCGGAGCTGAGCGCTGGCCAGAATCCGAGCCCACTGGAGAAGACAGGAGAAGGTAAGCAGGCCAGCTGGTGACCTGGAGCACCCGTTGGCTGCCTCCCTTGAGAAGAAGTAGTACAACTGGCTGGCTGCAGAGAGAAACCTATGGCGTTGTGCAGAGAAGGCCAGAATCTGAGCGTTCCTCGGACTTAACTTGTTGGGAGCATTGATGGCCAGGCCAGGCAGGACCTATTGTGGTCTCCTGGGCTGGATGCTGACGGACTGTAGTTTTGGACTTCTGAGTCTTGATAGGGACAGAGCCGTCCCTCCTGACTAGAAGCTCCACTTTCAGCTGCAATGGACAATGACAATGGTTGAACTTAGGAACTGATGCCAGGAACGGATATAGGTGTTCTCCCCTACTCGGCTGTGATCAATCTGCTAAGTTATAAATGATCCCATCCTGTTTCTTCCCCTTGTTTCTAGTTCAAGGCAAGAAACACAGTCTGCAGACCAGCGGCAGATAAGAGTTGTGATTTTTCCGAGTACTGCAACGGGAGCTCTGCCTCCTGTCCGGCCGATGTCTACATCCAGAATGGTTTCAGGTGTGCCTTCAACACGGGCTTCTGTTATGGAGGATCTTGTCAGTCGCCTGATCTACACTGTCAGGATCTCTTTGGGAAAAGTGAGCCTTTTTCATTTCTTTCCATCTTTTACAAATCCTGCCACTCAGAGAAACAGCGAGCCTGGTCTTGGACACTTAAAACTGAGCAGAACTTTACTCACAGTGGTTTAAAGAACAACAGCAAGGAGCAAACACCTTTCTGCAATGACAGAATTGTGGGTGTCTGGTGGGCAGGCATATATCCTTCTGCATTTTCCCTGCCATGCAGGATTGTCCCTCCTGTTCTCTCCAATAGACGGGAATATGTGAGTTTTGGCTTGAAGCATACTCAGTTGTGGAAAGCAAGGAGCATCCCGTTTTATTACTGCCTTTATTTATTTAAAGTATTTTTCACTCCACCTTTCTGCTTGAAAAAAGGACCCAAGGTGGCTTATGTCATTAAAAGACAATATTAAAAGCTAAAAACAGTTAAGTGGACAAATATTGAAGAGAATCAAATAAACACTATCCTAAACAAAAGCCACACCAAAAGAACACATTTAAAGCTGTGAGACACAACAATCCATTAAAAAAAACAACCCCTCTCAGGCCGCCAGTCACACAGGGAAAGTTTGCCTGAAGAGAAAGGTCTTTGTCTGCTTGCAGAAGGACAGCAAAGATGAGGCCAGCCTTGCCTCCAGTGGCAGGGAGTTCCAGAGTCGGCCTTAGCTCTGATCAGGATAAGAATCCTTTTTAAAAAAAAGAACCCAGCATTCCTCCAGCTTCCTGCATATGTATATATATTTCTCTTCCTCTTTGTTGGCCATTAACTCTTCCTTTTTCTCCCTAACGCGATGGCCTCTGGGAAGAAAGGATTCTGGGAATTACACATCACAACTCCTGTCTTAAATGCATACAGTCCCCTGTCACAGAACCACAGGTTTTAGGGTTTCATAGGGGGAGACGACGGGCATTATCGCACTTAAAGTCTGCAGTGCTGAGACTGGAGAGTGGAGTCAAAAGAACCCTCCATACCACCTTGGCAAATCTTATTCCCAGGCCAAGAAAACGGAGAGGCACGTTCTCCAGTTTTCAGGGTGGTGGATGGAAGTGTTATTTTTAGGGATCAGGGGACGTGATATTTCAACCCACTAGTGGTAAAGACTTGGCTGCATTTTTCCTTTTTCAGTTTCAAGGGACAGCAGCCCAGTCTGGCAGCCGTTCCCTCCTGCTTCATGTCTCCATCAAGGAACACTACAGCAAACATAGGAGCATAGATGCAGAGAAAATCGGCTCTGCCTCTGGTGACAGCAGTTGGGCAGAGATTCGGCATGAAAGTTCCTCCATTCCTGAGCTATAACAATTTTCTCCTGCCCTCACCCTTGGCTGTTGTTTTTCTTTCCTTCCTCTGTATCTCGATAAATCACTCTTGAGTTTCACCAGAAAACTTCCGACTGACTCAGCACTAAGAATTACAGTACTTACTCTCTTCAAAGAGCAGGAATCTGAGCTGCTTGGTATGAATGATTTAAGGGCAACCCACTGGTATACAGAAGTTTTTAACATCTTCTGCTCACACACAGACAGGTACAAACCTCTCTTCTTAATCCACCCAGAGTATTTGGAGGGTAAAGAGGCAACAGGATAAAATAGAATGAGAGAGGAAGCCACAAGAATGTTGACACCTCTTACAGAGTATGCCAAAGCATTCAATACTGATTCTACAATAGCATTTTATTTCATCTAACCAAGGCCATTTTGGATCTTTATAGGGTCGAGAAATGCTCCACAGGCATGCTACAAACGAATCAATGGTCAAACCGACAGATTTGGACATTGTGGGACTGATTCCAAAAAGGGATTAAAGGCGTGTTCTATCCGGTAGGTGCTTAGGAAATCAAGACCAAGGAGTGGGGTGGGAGGGAGAGGATCTGAGTATTTTCTATTGCCGGGGTGGGCAACTCCGGCCCTCTCGATGTCTTAGCCTACAACTCCAAGCTGGCACGGCCAGTTGCGAGGGGTTGGGGAGATGCAAGGAGAGAGAAAGAAGGCAGTCACTCAACCAAATCTGAAAGAATTTGGGAAAGGCTGTGTGGTTCAGGATCACACAAGTGCAAGAGTTAAGGAGATTCCTTTATTGAACCACTTAAAATAAAATCACACAAACGGCAAGCTTTCGTAGATAAATTCCCACTTCCTCAGGCTGTGTTCCACCCCTTTCTGAATAGTGCAGAAAAAAATCAAAAGTTGGAGTCCCAAAAATTCATGGAAGACATACATGCTGAGTCTGCTGGCATGAGGTGAAGTCAGACTTGGGTTGTAAAATCAGCTGGGAGGCGTCATTTCAAACATCCTCCCTTGTAGCATGGTTGGAATTTTCCATCCCAAACTCCAAACAAAGAATTTGTTCGTTACTTTATGACTGTTGACAGTAGGTTCTGGGCTTCCACTTGAAAAGAAGGAGATAAATACCTGCCAAATGACAACCCCATGAAAGGCATTGTTTCTTTCTCCTCCGCCTTCCTGCCCTTTCCACTTTTCACCCAGCGATTGGAGGGATTCATTTTGAACTCTGCTTTAAAGCCAACGTAGCGGAGACCAATGCTGGTAAAACAGACATAGCACTATCCATTGTGTCCATACTGTGAGAGTCTGCAATCTTGCAGATTCAATCATGTGTCCCTCTTTCCCTTGTGTGAAGCTGAAAGACAAGTATTTCATGTAAAAAGGTAAAGGTTCCCCTTGACAATTTGTCCAGTCGTGTCCGACTCTAGGCGACAGTGCTCATCTCCGTTTCCAACCCATAGAGCTAGCGTTTGCCCACAGACAATCCTCCATGGTCACGTGGCCAGTGTGACTAGACACGGAACACCATTTACCTTCCCACCGAGGTGGTACCTATTTATCTACTCACATTTTTGCATTTTGCATGCTTTCAAACCGCTAGGTTGGCGGGAGCTGGGACAAGCGACGGGGGCTCACTCCGTTGTGTGGATTCAATCTTACGACGGCTGGTCTTCTGACCTTGCAGCACAGAAGCTTGTGCGATTTAACCCACAGCGCCACCACGTTCCCCTAAAAAAGATATAGTTAATAATATTGGTAAATCTGTCATTTCAGAGCTGGAAAACACAGGACTTCTTTTAAATTGCTCCCCCAACTCTTTTTTACACTCTTTTCTCTTCCCTTCTCCAAATTCCTTCGCAGGGATATCAGATGTGGGAAGTTAATTTGCGTCTATCCATACAGCATTCCTTTTACTAAACTCAGAGTTCCTGTCCTGTATACTCCGGTCAAAGATACCGTCTGCATATCTCTGGACCTGCAACAGCCCGAGGGCTATCCAGACCCTATGCTGGTGAGGGAGGGTACAAAATGTGGAGTGGATAAGGTAAGGCAGCCCAAGGTGGAGAGTTTTCTTTTTTTCCTGGATGATGGGAATTGTAGTCCTTCCTATCCAAGGTCACCCACTTGGATAAAATAGCCTTAACTAAGGGTTTCCCAACCTCAATTGCTGTTTATGAGAAGGGGACCTCAGAAACTAGATGTTAGATCTATTTTATTTTCATTTGTATTGTTTTTGGCCAGACCATGAAGATGATGGTCGCAATTACTGCTGTAGTAGGCATCTGTAGAGGGCCTGGGCCCCCCTAGCCTCCCCCAGTTTCCACAGCCCCTAGGCCTCTGGGTGCTACACCTTTTCCAAAGGAGAAAGGACATGAGCCCGGAATCTGGCACGGCTGCCCACGTTCATATTATTTGGGGGCCTCTTGCCAATAGCGTTTTTCTAAACCTGGAGTGACCTTCTGGGGCACCAGTTGAGTGACCTTCCTGGAGATGACCTGTTTAGGAAAGGGGGGGTCCTGAGACCTGCACTGGACCCCGGGAACCCCACCGTTCCCACCTGGGGGTGCAGGGGACGTTTTCGCAAGCAAGAGACTCAAAAGGAGGAAAGGTTTGACTGGATGCATATTTTTTAATGCAGAGGACAGAGATGCATGCCATCAGATGTTCTTGTCACTTACCTTTGCTAAGATGTTTACATGCCACTTAAATATCATAACAGTTCCTTTTCTTAAATTCTATATTTATTTAGCTTGATTATGTTGAACAGACTGGGCTCATTCTGTCGTGGATGATACATATCAGCAAAGGCCCACGGCCATATGCAGTAAAGCTTTATATGGTCCATATTTGGGTTTTGTTTACAGGAGATAATGAAGGACCAGGTGTGGAAATCTAGGCAAATTCATTTTAAAGTGCTGAAATGAGAGTGTTCGCCATGTAATTACATGGCCCAATGTTGCCCCTGGTGACAGACACATTGGAAGCTTTTAAGGTCTCTATGGCCAGAATTATTAGGGGGTTGGCTTCCAAATGGGCAGTGTAGCTGTGTGATTCTCCCGCCAGCTGAAACTGCTATTAATGGATCGCCTGCTAATCTGTAAGTCGAAGTATGTTAACGGTTCCTGCTGTTTTATTGTTGATATATAATGTTTTGGTGTTACTGCCATTTCTTGCTAGTTGTCGTTAGCATTTGTGAATCCAGCTGACAGGCTCTGCTTGGAAAAAGCGCAGGACAAAAGTACATTTATATCACTGACATGTTATTTCTATAACCATCACGCCTGGATTTAATTTGGCATTGCTCTCAATTGCTAACCTTCAGCGAAACGCACGGGGTTCCCTCCAAGGGCCAAAGCTGGCTGAGAGATTCTGCCAGCTCTAATCCGAGTAAATCACTTTTCTAAATTTTCGGGTAGGGGGAAGATCGGCACCAAGGGGGCTCTTAAACAGCACAAATGTTTTTGAAAGGTGAAAGCTGCTATCATTATCATTATCGTTATCGTTGTCGTTGTTGTCGTTGTTGTCGTTGTTGTTATTATTATTATTA